ATAAGAAAACATCTCTACCCAACAACCATACTGCTGTGAAAATTCCCAAGCCTTGCATTGGTATAGCTAAGGAAAATTTAATCTTCCCAAATACTCATCAGAGCACTCCATCCTGCAGACCTGACAGCCCCACTTATAATTAATTATACAATTTCGATGGGAATATCGACTAAACAAAGCTATAAATCATAGAAAAAGTCAATAGGCATGGACACATTCAATCATGTCCCGACCAATGATTACTACTCTTAAAATACAATAATTATTTTCAGGAGCCAGCTTGAATTAAATTTCTGTCAGCCTGGTACAAGCCTGGTAGGTGATGAAGGATGCGATGGATTTTTTGGGTTGAATTTGGCCAGGGACATTTATCCTTTTAGATAGGTAGTTTGTTTTTAGTGATCATGGTGCTGTGTGTTTAACTAGACCATGAAGATTAGATTATCTCCAATGGCTCATTATATCGTTTATCTTTCTCTTCCATTCTTGATCTGGAAGATTTCCTGCTTCCTGGTGTGTGAATGAAATGGCTACAGATTTTGAAATATAATGTTCTAAAGTGGCCCATCTGTATATGAGTCTTTGCAGGAAAACATATGAAGAAGCATGCATGGAAAATTAACTTAATGCTTAAAATGCTACTGGCATGCCAAGAACTGCTACAAGCAGAAATGATAATCTTTAATTTTAAAAAAAGGAATTGAAATATTGCACAACTATAATTCAAGATGTTTTAAAAATAAAATCATGTATATGCTACATCAAAAGGAAAATGTTGATTTTTCTTGTTTATTTATGGATGATCATAATTCTAGTGAGTTAGGATATTAAGAATTATGTACTAAACCATAGTTTTACATAATGCTCATGAATTTTCCATTTACTTCATGCAGCAAGAATTATCTATATAAGCAATAGGTGAATATCAACTACTTTTTATATTATTTAGGAGACACTACAAACCTGAGTTATGAATCCCTAATACTACTAACAGTGAACAAGGAACTACATTTTACATGTCCTCCCCCATTAATAGGAAGTTGATGTCAGCAGATTTCTTATTTTCAACTATTAGTTCCCGATAGGTAGAACTTTGGTTAACCCTTTGGTTAACAGCTTTAGCGAAGGGCACATTTGTGTAGTGACAATAATGTTCCATCTCTCTACTGCTGTCATCTCTCAATGGTTGCTCCAGTATGTCAAATGAATTGGGCATCGCTAAAGCCAGCTTGGTGACTTTGGACCAGTCATTCTCTCTTGGCCCAAATCACCTCACAGGGTTGTTGTGGGGAAAATAGGAGGAGGAAGGAGTATTGGTATGTTTGCTGCCTTGAGCTGTATATGAAAAAAAAAAAGGGATAAAAATCTAAAAAAAAAAAAAAAAGCCAAACTGTTGCAACACTTTAAAAGAAAAACTGAACTTACAGTCAAACTTCCAGGTGGGATGGTGCAAGTTGTCATATATTGTCCTGAAATGATTCTACAAGCCATGAAATGGGTGAGGTTTGGAATCATTGTTTCTCAAGGTACCAAATTATTCATTAAGGGTACATCAGCTACAAGTTTAACCACTCCACCTCTCAGAAACATCCTTCTTGCCTTCCTGTGAACTGTTCTTGTCCTCACCATGCACAGACTTTCTGTACAAACTGACCAGTACTCAGTAGCTGATGAAAGAGGAAGAAAACAGTACAGCCAGCACCTTTCCCCTATCTGTGTCTCTTTGCTGATGTAGTTCTTTTCATCATGAGGGAAAAAAATCTGCCCTTCTATTAAGTAAAATGGTAGCAAAATACCATGTCAGCTCAACTTCTATTTCAGCGATTTCAGTGAAACATTGAGAATCAGTTTCCTGGCAGAGATGAAGAGCAACATTATGTAGCTAGCATTCAATTTTTAGAAAGACAGACGGCAAGATCCAGAAAGCACCACCCTCCAATTTGGAAATTTTTCCTCGGATTATTGAAGCATGAGGAAACTCCGAAATTACTGAAGGGCAGAAGGAAACTTTTCACCTGCTCTCAGTTCTTTTTCTAAAAATGCAAGTTGAACCCGGGGACCAATTAAGCCCTGCATGGAGCTCCTACATGTGATCCACAATCATTTTCCACACTAAATGGATAAACAGTCCCCAGACAATCCATGTTAGAAAAAAGCAAGATTTGGTATATATTTACTGTGTGTATATATAAAACAGACATACTATGGGATGGTTATTTACACCCTTTATGAAGACATTAGAAGTGACAAAGAGAACTCTATGCTGCTGCAGTAACATGTGACCTTTCCCCATACACTGATATAAACATTGTAATATATGAACAGCCCTAGCAATACATTAAATTCTAAGAAACATTCTGTGTAGTGGGTATTTTTCATACAACTTTTCAGATTTAGAAATGATTTGGAAAAAGTGCTTCAGACCTCACTCACTCACTTTTCATTAAAGCAGCAAGATTTTTTTTTTCCCAGTGGCAGCAGCTTCAAGGAATTGATTCATTAAAATTAATATGATTTTTAAAGCTATAACTTTTTTTTTATCAAGCTCAAAGCTGTTATCTTTAGTAGTTAGAAGTGCTGCTTTAAACATCAATATTGTGGAGGTTTGTGGCTTATAATATGAATTGTTAAAGTTTAGCACCAGAGGTTGTGGGAGAAAAGAATGTCCCATGCCCTTTGAAATAAATTTGCAAATGTGGAAATCTGTATGAAGGTGTAACTGTTCTTTTCTTGTGATTTCTAATAATAATACTTTTTTCATAAAAATCTGGATATGATTCTACTTACACTTATTTAATTTAAACATTCTGTTGAACATGTTATCAAGCTGTGAGCAGATATAGGGTGTCTTTGGTTGGTGGAAAATACTGAAGCTAATTGTTGTTAAAATTATATTCTATCCAAAGAGTTACTAAAATAATAGTTGATCCAACAACTGCACCTAGAAGTTTGTCCAACAGTTAACTGTAACAATTATACCTATACCCACAATATTCTTTTCACACCATACTAATACAATTTCAAATGAGGGTTAGAGATTTATTAAATGATAAAAGATTTGTGAAGCAAAGGATCAAGCAGAAAACAATGCAACTGTGAAATGTATATTCTTTTCAGTTACAAGTTCAACAACTTCTAACGGATGAATATTCAATATAAACCTAATATCTCATGGTGGGTAAAATGGCTCATAATTTCAACAGTGTGCTTGAAACTACGATTTAAAATATTACACAGATAGTTCTCATTCAATGACTTCCTTGTTTAGCAATGAAGTTACGATGATGCTGAAAAAGTAACTTTATGACCAGTTCTTGCACTTAGCAATCGTTGTAGCATCCCCATGGTCAAGTGATCAAGACTCGGGCACTTTGCAACCTGCAGGCATTTATGACCATCACAGTGTCCCATGGTCATGTGATCGCCATTTGCATGCTTCACAGCTGGCTTCCAACAAACAGAGTCAATGGAGAAGCCAGTAGTAAAATCGCAAGTTGCGGTCATGTGATGCTTGTTTAACATGATGTGTTGTTTAATGACAGTGTTGCTTAGCATCGGAGTTGCTAGTCCCAATTGTGGTCATTAAGTGAGGACTACCTATAGAACAATATCTATGTCCGTGTCCCTAATGGGAATTTATATTACAATAATCTGGTATAAAGGTTGACTAATAGCATCTGGACTGACTATGGATTATGGGAGTTATTATCTAAAACTTCTACATGTACTAGCTTGGGGAAGATGCATACATAATTCCTCATAGGCAATCACCTAAGGAGAAAAAAGAAACAGTACTGAACAGTTAATTTGAGTGGCTGATTGTTTAGGTGATCTTTTTATATGCATCCTTATAGCATGCAGGACAATCCTCAGGTCAAAGATCCTTGTTTACCAAAGGACCCATTTTTATACTCAATACCCAAGAATGAAATGCGTGCTGATGTGGATGTTTAACAAAAAAGGGAATCAGGTGCTTTTGCAGGTAGTTTGGTCCATGACCACTGGGCTGGCAAATCAAGTACATTTTGAATTTTTAGCGCATGATGTGGGCACTCTTGCAAAATGATGGATGAATTAAGTCTCAAAATGCCAACCTATCAGAAATCAAAGTGGTAAGGTTGCTACTTACCACATTCTCTAACTCTCCTCCTCAGTTTACTATACTCAGCTTTACTTTTTCTGGGCAAGAGGACATATTTTTATTGGCTGGATCTATCCACTATTTTTATTTTTTACGAATGCCTTTGGAACCCAGGTGGGAAGTGCAAATGATGCTGGAGGCTGGAACTTTGCTTTCCACTTACCAGCTTGCAAGCTACTGATTCATTTCTTAACTAAGAGAACCCAGTTTATTTTATTTTTTTTCGAAGTCAAGTGAGTCAGGGAGCCTGATGGTCTGCAAGTGAGATGTTGGAATAAGTTTGTAGGCTCAAGTCTAGTAGAAACAAGAAGTCTAGTAAAAACAATAAGGATCCTTTATCAAGGTTGTTCAGGGCAGTTCTGACATTAAAACCAGAAATCTTTTGTCAAGCCTCAGGAAAAACAGTATACAGAAGGCTTATGTATTTAGCACTTTTTGCCTGGGCCAAAAAATCCTGAGTCATCTACAATTCATACTATTACTACTACTATCTATTTATTATGTACCTTTACCACTGAAATCAAGGTCTTTAGAACTTAAGACAGCTGAAGATAACAGCGAGACTGTGGAAAAAAAATCTGTGAACATAGTTATATAATCAGTTTAAAATGGTTTAACTTGCCTTTTAATAGCATTTTAATGTACTGTGAAGTGCACTGCCTTGATGGCATATTTTGTAAAGGGAAGGATAGAAATGTAAAAATTAAACTACACTGATAAAAGAAGTCCTCATTAAATAAAAGGTTGTCATGCTAAGGAAAACAGGATATGAGCATTTTCCAATCACATTTCTTGGAGCACCAGGTCTCCAGAAGCAGGGCTATATCTATAAAATGTAATTTTACAGCTGGAAACTCACCGCAGTGCCATTGTTATCTCTAAAAACATCTTGATTAAAATAGTCAAAGAGTTTCTTTTCTAACTGTAGCATAACCTGGGGAAAAAAATGAAGCAGAGCTTAAAAAACTAAAACAAAACAACCCCCAACAAAGTTCAACATGATCATTATAAGTACACTTTTGCAATTTTATTTTTAAATTTTTATTACCTTCTCCATTAAATCAGGTCCTTTTCTGACTTAAAGAAAAAGAAATGCAGAGAACCTTAAACAGATTGTATTATAGTGCTTTAAGAGATTTGAGGTTACTTTTCACATATTTCCTGTAATTATGATAAATATCCATGTATAGAAAATCAAGATTACTGTAAAAATTAACTGACTGATTGACTGATTATATGCTATCAAGTCAGTGCTGACTTTTAATAACTGTATAGATAGATTTTTTCCATGATGATCTGTCCCTAACCTGGTTTTACAGGTCTTCCAACAGTGTACTCATCTCTATTGTAGCTGAGTCTATCCATCTTGCTCTTCTTCTCTTTCCTTCCACATTTCCCAGCCTTAGAGCCTTCTCTAGAGAGGAGGACTTTGCATAACGTGTCTGAAGTAAGACAATTTGAGCCTGGTCATTTATGCCCCAAGTGACCTGGGTTGATTTGTTCAATGATCCACTGGTTTGTTTTCTTGGCTGTCCACTGTATTCTCAAGAGTCTTCTCCAACTATTTTTACAAAAGACTGGAAACCCTTTATGGAGTTTTTGCTGAAAATGGATAAAAATGAACTGGTGATTTGGGGATTTATTGATTAAAAAGATTTGTCTATGGGAAGAAGGGAACCATGATATGCAATATGGGAGGGTGAAGATAATAATTGCTATGTTTGTAATTACTGCAAAGAAGATCGGAAGTTGCTTCTTTAGATATCCTTGCTTTTTTGTTATCCTTCACTTTTTCTTTTACCCTTTTACAATTTCTTTCTTTTTCTACTTCTTCTTTTATGTTTCTGTAGTTTTTTAAAACTTTGTAAAGTCTTCTTTAAATATTTTTTTTTTAAAAAGAGTCTTCTCCAACACAACATTCAAAAGCATCAATACTCTTCCTGTCCTGCTTCTTCAAAGTCCAACTTTTGCTTCCATAGAGTGTCAGAGGGAATGTACATTGCTTGCAGTATACCTATTTGTAGGTATAGACACATTACGGTATCTGAATATCTTTTCCAAGACCTTCATGGCTGCTCTACCAAGTGCCAGCCTGTGGCCTATTTTTTGACTACAGGTAGTCCTTGACTTACGATCATTTATTTAGCAGCTGTCTGAAGTTACAACAGTGCTGGAAACAGTGACTTATGATCAGTCCTTGTACTTATGACTGTCTCAGTGTCCCCACAGTCAAATGATCAAAATTTGGGTGCTTGGCAACTGGCATATATTTACAATGGTTGCAGCGTCCCAGGATCAGATGATTGCCACATTTGCGACCTTCCCAGCTGGCTTTTGACAAGCAAAATCAATGAGGACCCACATGATTTGCTTAATGATCACTGCAAAAAATGTTGCAAAATCAGGCGTGGTCACGTAATGCCTCACTTAACAACTGCACCGCTTAACAATGAATTTTCTGGTCTCTTTTGATCTTTTCCAATCTGTTGGTCCCTGCACTGTTCTCCAGATTTGCTGGCATAGCTTTGTTAATGTAGAAATAGTGTATTAATATCACACACTGCTAGTTGGATACGAAGTTAAAATGTAATCTAGGAGACTGACATTTATGAGGCTTCCATAAAAGAGGATTGCAAATATTTTTAAATATGTTATATCTGAATTAAGAAAACTGATTTAAAAAGTGGTTCTTGGGCAGATACAGGTCAATCTCATTCCTGCTGCACAAATTGCAGGAGACTTGCAAGTCTTAGGCAAATATCCAAGCTATGGTCAAACCCATCTCCCCAAAGCAGAATTTCTGCATGGACATGTATGGTATGCATGTATAAAATGACATACATGTATAATGTCAAATATGTGAATCATCTTCATCAGGAATTACATCAGGACTTACAACAGTACAGCCAAAATACAGATTTATGATCAGCTCAGAAAGACCTAGGCCTCATAAGTGAAATTTTTGTTAAATTAGAATGCTGTGATGTTTATATGAGGACTATCCTTTTCTGGGGATACAAAATATTTTCCAATGTTTCATTTTGTTTCCAAGAAGAGAAACAGATCCATAAGACAGAGGCTTTCCATCTCTTTTTCATTACTTTTAAGAAATCACATTCACTTGGTTAGAAACCAAGCTTCTGTGGGAGTGGTGGTAGGGGAGATTAATATACATGTTACTTTAATTGTACAGCAATGAAATGGGAGCACTGCACACAGGATGAACAAGTGACATATTTTCTCTGAATGATATTTGTCTTCAGAAATTATATTGTTCCCCAAGTGGGATTTTCTTTCTTTTTTAAAAAAATGTATATAGTTTTCCTTGCAGTCTATTTTCTGATAGACACAGAAGGCAGTTATTAAGTTGTGCTCTGTCACTGAGAACTGGCACATGAAGTTTTCTTCTTTGTTTGCCTTGGGTTTTAGGTAGCTTAAGGCACACCTTCGCTTTCCTCCCCAACACCTATGAAAACCTTGCTTTTCTCATTGGCACATATCATTCTACCTATTCAAAGGAACAGTTGCAGACTTCTTGAAAGTTTACCGTGGTAGACTCAACATATGTGGCTATTAGAGGCTGGGGTAAGTGCAATTATAATCTCAGTACAAGTGTAGATCTCACGTAACTCATTGCGGTCACAACTGAATGCACATTTCTGTAAGTGTGTATTTTGAATTAAATCACCTCCACATAAGCAAAGAAAGGGGTGGATTACTTAGTTATGTTTGCATTCTCTTCAGTGACAAAGATTGCATTTGGTTACATACCTTTCGGTCATTATCAGATTCGCGGAATATTAGTTTGACTACTTCATTAGTGTCAGCAGCCCGGATAGTTTGCATTGTAGCCTTTGCACAAAGTGTCTGTTTAAAAAAAAAAGCATATGAGGTAGGGGAGAAATTAATAAGCTTGTTAAAAACATTTTACAAAGATTATTGAAGACATTAAAAATCTTTAGTTAAAAAATGTAAACATAAATATACAAACATATACTTCAGCTGAATTATTAAGATAAAGAGTTACTTTCTTTAGTTTATTTTGTTCTTCCTTAAAATTGGACAGCAGTTGGAAAATTTAAGGATTTGTTATGGGTAGTATAAAATTGCTAAGCCCCACCACTGAATTCATCTACTTCAATTGTTTTTTTCTTAAAAATTAAATTAAAACACTGGGATGTTTATATGAGGACTCTCCTTTTTTGGGGATACAAAATATTTCCCAATGTTTTGTGTTGTTTCCAAAAAGAGAAACAGATCCATAAGGCAGAGGCTTGGTATCTCTTTTTGAAGTACTAGCAGAACCCTGGAGCAGTATGCCATGTTAATCTGATAGCAGGATCCACACATTGGAAAAAAGGGCACAGCTTTCAACTTTTCTTGCAGCTCCATTCAAAAACTCCAGTTGCCCTGGAAACTTAGACATGTTAACATTTGATATTGTCTTGAGGTTTTATTGGACTCTTCTAGGATTTGAATGGTGGAGTTACCTAAAAATTTGTAAATTTGACTTCAAGAAGCACTTTGAGATAATGCTTAATAAACTTTGTTCTGATAAGGAGTAAATTACTTATTTTACTCTTTTTCCTAATAATCCTACGAGAAACAAGAAGCTGCTTGATTCCTGTTAAACTATCCAGCTCAGAGTGCTTTCTCCTCTGACTGGCAATGGTCTTCTAAGATCCCTTTCATCTACTCCTTCTTTCTGGAGATACTAAAATTTGATCCTGGGATTTTCTACGTATAATCCATTTAATTTTGATTCTTCCTTTATGGGTTAGACAATATCCTCAAAAACTTATTTCTCTTTATACGAGTAGAATTGTGCCAGAGCAACTGACTTTCTTACCTTGCTAATACATCGAGAATCAGAGACAAAGAAAGATATGATTTTCCTAATAATAAGCTTAATAATTTTTAGCTGCCATCAATTCTTGGAAGATATTATTATTTATTTAGGACTAATTGTTACATTGTATTTTTAATTAATATTTATCTTTTCTGTAAACTGCCCAGAGTCGCTTTCTAATTAGATGGGTGGTGACAAATTTGATATATAAATAAAAATATAAATAAAAATATTTCACTTCTATTATTTTTTTATTTTGCTTTACAAAGTATCAACGTGACAATCTGACTAAAACTCTTCTTCCCTTCAAAATTCCCTTCAGGATTTTTTTTCTGCCTAGAAACCATAGTGCTGTTAGAATAATCACCACAAATTTGGATAGACTATTTTAAAATAGCAATTTTTTCAAAGGAACTGTGCCCAGATTTCTCTTTCCACAACCACTCCATGAATATTAGAATAATGCTACTGAAAGCACAGGAAGTTGTTTTAACTCCAAATATTCCTTGCCAAGCAGAGAAGCAAGAGAAAGGGTGGCACACCAAGACTTTGAGAGCAACCCCTATTTTTTTACTTTCTTCTGTTTAACCCACAGCTAATCACTTTTTCCACTCATCTTCACAATTTGATCTGGGTCCCATTCTGTCTCTTTTGACAAGTAATTAACATTTTGCCATCTGTGTCTGTATGTCGTTAACTGTGAGGTCATCCACCAACAAGCCATTCCCAAAGAGCTTCTCCTTCAGATACCAACCATTGAAATTCAAAGCACAAATTAGCTAATCAGGTCAAGCCCCCCAAAATAGCCTTTTGGACTCATGTGTCACAAATCAGTCTGGTCGCCTTTAAACAGTGCACCAGATTAGAACAAGCAACTGAACAAACCAAAGCGGAAAACCCACCGCTCTCTAAAGCTGGTTTTCTAAAGCCCTAACAAATCGCTCCATCTTTCACTCATTTAAACCTTCCAAATGAGGGTCAATATGGTCCCCAAGCATCCAAATGCTAATGCGCTTAAGTGCGCTTAAGCAGCTTTCTGGAATGAATGGGCCGAAGAGCGGCTCGAAAGGACAAGGCAGAGTTACTGTCACTGTCAAAAAGACATTGTAGCCACCCCTAGAGTGGCTGCAATTCAAAAAATTCATGATTTCTGCCTTTTAAAGGCATCTGCTTGGGAACATTCCCCCCTCTTCACACCGCCCAAAGCTCCCCCAATCTGCTTTATAGCTGTTACAAGTTCAGGTCTGTTCCAAAGGAACCATAACCATAAATATGGAAGTGTAAAAATCTGATACTCTCTTGACCACTAAAGAGAAGGTGCTACAATTGCATGGAGACAAACACTTATCTTATTCACAAACAAAAAGTGATTATGCAAAAGTCCATTTCTTATACAATCTGGAACATTCCTTTTCCCCAGCCCACCTCTTTTCAGTTTCTACGAAGTCGTAGTCACCCAAGCAGAAACTTTCAGAAACTTGTGCTTTTTTTTTTTAAAGGAAAGCCTGCTTGCTTATGAAGGGATTTTTTTTTTTGTGGTGGTAGTGGTGGTGTTTAAGAATGGGAGAAAATTGAAATGCTATGAAAATACACTGCCCTTTTCATTCTTATGAAATATACTTTCATCAAAGGTACTTAAAAAAAATGAGACAAAATCAGAATAAAATTCTGGGGCTTCCTTGCTTAATTGAAGAAAATTGCCCTTTCTTATAGAAGATTGCTTTCTAAAATTTCTTTACAGAGGAAAAAAAAGTTTGTAAAAAACCTGAGATTTGGGCTTTACATAACATGGGAAAAATACTGGGATGACCAAGTAGAGAACTACAATTCAGAAGAAGACACATTATTATAGAACCATAGCTATAAACTGCTGGATATTCTTTGTTAGGAGAGTAGGAAACCCACATACTCTTTGTTAGGAATGAGCAGTTAGGAACATGCAGTTAAAAATGTTTTTCTGAAACGTGAAGAACTCTGCACTAAATACAGACTAAATACAGTTTAAATTTGAAGCGAATGGAAAACCCTAACCTTCAAGTTAGAAAAAAAAGAAAAAGGAAAAGAAATATAAGGAAACAAGTCCTAAAACATCTCATGAGGGCAGAATATGCTTAATAGCTAAGTGATGTTGAAGAGGAAACAGGGAAACAGCGTGTGAAATAGTTGTATTTGGGAGGTAGACATGAAAAAATGGCTGAAGCACTGAACAAAACTGCCTCTTTGAGGCAATGAGAATAAGGCAGTGTCTCACTTATTTTAAAAAAGGAAAAACTGTAATAAGCCAATTATGTTATATCCAAATCCCATCACAGATTACAGCACATGTATTATTCACATTAGTTTTGAACTGTTCACTTTTGGCAAAGTCTACAGAAACTTAAGAGTCACATTTCACTAAAGTACAAGTCATTTAGTCCTATTTGGAATGGGAAATGTAGAAATTGTTTTCCAAAATATTCAATAATAAACAGCCAGCATACAAAACCTTTTCCCAAGAAACGAGCATGTGAACTATTTTAGCAAACAAACAAACAAATAAATAATCCACCATGGCAAGAAAACAGTACAGGTTCTGAGACCAAGAGATGATGAACTAGGAGATGATCCAAGAGCTATCCATATTGTATCACTGTTGAAGCGGAACAGTTGCGAACATGATAAGTGCCTGGCAGAGACTCTTGGGAATATGTGTAAGCTGCTCTGAGATTTCAAATGAAGAATTATATCTGTATAATGCACATCAATGGGCACTGCACTTCACAGAGTACAAGAAGATTGGTCCTTATCAAGAGGAGTTTACAAATGCTAATTCATCACAAGGGAATTTCAAAGAAGTGAAGGAAGCTAAAAACAGAAAATATGTACAAGACTGCTTTATTTCAGTAACTTGTACATAGGTTTCGTTAGGGCACAGCATGGGACCTGAGGATTGTTCCAAGTATTGCTGTGGACACTAAATAAGTGAAAGTGGTTGCCCTTCCCTTTTGTTCAGTTTGAGGAGTTTTTGACACTGGTTTATATACAGTGCATTCAGAAAGTATTCAGACCCCCTTCACTGTTTTCAATTTTGTTATGTTGCAGCCTGATACTACAATCGTTCAAATTA